TCAGATGTCCCTTAATCCCCAAACTCCCCTCCCCCTATTATTTTGGATTCACACGTCTTTCAGAATAGCTTTATAACTGCACGTGTGTGGGGGGGGAGAAACAGCATTAAAATTCCTTTGATGGCACCCATGCACACACATCTGTTCAGTTAAGTTTCCCCAGTAATGTCTATCAATCAATCAAAAGAAAAAGGTTTATATGCACCTCAGTGGGGCATTCTAAAAAGCTGGTTGCAGGCAATTGTTGTGCACTGAATGGTTTCTTTCAGTATATAGGTTCTGGCAGAAGGAGAGGACAATTTTTTAATGCATTAAAAAAAAAAGTGCAGAAGTAGTAAAATTCCAGTCTCTCTCCCTCTTTCTTTCTGTCTGCCTCCCATGCCTGCCCCCCGCCCCCCTCTGATTTTTCCCTCTGTTTATTTAGGAGATGGGCTTATGCTCTGAAGTTTAGATCTGAATCCACATGCAAAAATTTCCTAAAACCTCTAAAGTATTACAAGCACAGGTGCCAGTCACAGTGTTTGGCTCTGGGTCCAAACTGTTACAGTGTTTGGTCTGAGTCTTTGGTTGGAGGTATGTTGAGCTATTTTTGCTTCTATTTTTTTGCTTCTTCTCAGTTGCTTACTGAGCTTCATGGCTGTGGCTGGGAGATTAGTGAATCAGGACATGGAGCTCATCTCTGGATCTATTCTGAACCAATGCGCCAACATGAGAGGTAGGTTGTGTTGTGGCTAGAGCTGCCTTCTTGCAGCTGGGCCATAAACCAAGACTGCAAGGACCTGTGGTGATGTTGACTGAAGATTCCATGACTAGTCCTACACTCAAATCCAACTCTGACTTCAGATGGGTGAACTAGATTCATCAGTGATATTTTAGGTCAGTTATATGGCAGGATGATACATAACTTCATTTAGGTTATAAAAAACAATAGCAATGGTGCCTTCCTGCCTTGAAGCCCAGTAGTCTACTGGCTAGGGCACTTTCACAAAGGGTTGGAGAGACAGATTCTAAGCCTTTTTCACTCCTACATCTTCCACATCCTAGCAAAGGGGCCTAACTGCCAGGCCATGAAGTATGTAGGGCCAAAAGCAGTCTCCAGTGGCTGCCCACTCTTGGCCAAAGGAGATGGCAAGCAAGAGGAATGTGGCAGGGGTCCTGTTTTCTTAGTCAGCCCAATGGGACAGAAGTTATCTTTCCGTTTTACTTGTCCACAGTGGGCTGTGAAATGCAAAATGCAGAAGCACCCTGGGGAACGGGGGGGAAGGGAGGGGAGGCTTTAGCGCTTCAGGCAAGTCCAGCTTATAAATCAGTGAGAGTTTCCAATCCTCAGTTGTCCCCACCCCTGCTTCCCCCCTCAAGACACTGCTTTGTGATATGGAAAGTTGAGTATGAGTGACCCAACATCATGTTGCTCATTTTTTTGCATCCTCACAAAGAAGCATCTTAATGCCACCATTTGGTCAAGCTGCAGGGAGAATAGGAAGAGGGAGGAATCTTTTTACCTTTCTTCCAATCAACACATCCAACTGTAGTGATGGGAAAAGTGGGGGAGGGGGCAGAGAAAGGATTGTCTTTTCACTGTAACTCCTTTTGTAAGTTAGAGAATCCTGGTGGATTGTGTTGACAATAATCAACACCGCTGATCTGCTGCTCTCAGACCGGTGCAGCATTTTTTGTGAGGCTCTCAAACCACTTTATAAGTGCTCATTAATTGTGTTTTAGAAGAGACTGGGCAACAGAGAGATGATGTGGTCTGTTCCTACTTGCTTGGTGAGTGTAGGTCTGAGTCCCAAGAATGTTGACAATCCTGCTCCCTAGAAGAAACCATTGCCTTCTTTTCTGAACTCCTTTTCCTATGCATTTACCCTAAGAAACCTGTTGTCACTGTTCCTTTATGGGTGTGAAAAGGACTATTTCTGTAAAATGGGCTCTGGTATGGATTCCTACGTACTGCCTGATTTCAGCCTGGATTTCCCACTGGCTCAACCTGCCCTTGTGTCCTCATCTCTTGTCCTCATTTTCCATGTGGTATTGTTTGAGCTGAGTTTCTTTGTTGAGCTCTGTTGTTTTAATATTCAGCTGGCCCCTGCTGCTGCTTGCACCTTGTGTGTGGTCTTTGAACGTGAGGTGGCTCCGCAGCTGGGAATAGTGAGTGGGTGAGAAACTGTATTTTTTAAAACAAAAAGACTCTGTATCTCTTCAGTGCAAGAGTTCCTGCTTTGCTCAGCTCCTCATGCATGTCGGTGGTGGCTCTTTGGGCTGCAGTTCTATCACTGGTTCTGCAGGTATCAGTGTAATGAGTAACGTGGTCTTAAGATGCAATGTCCTTCCCACTGTTAAAGAAGGGAAAAGAAATAGTTCTTTCTTCCCAACTCCAGTAATCATTGGAGGAAAAAGCTGCTATATTTTAGACCATGTCAGTCCAGCTTCTGAGTAGCTGCAGGCTGCACAGGACTCTTGCCCTGTGCAACGCTCTCCCCCAGCCATGTAAGTAGCATGAGTCCCCCTACTGCCACCACCACATGGGCAATCCCTTCCCTACTCCCATGGTGTGAGCCCCATCACTGCCACCACCACATGGGTGATCTTCACTCCACCACCATTGCTGTACAAGCCTCCTCCCCTTCACTATTATTCATGTCCCTCTGCTGCTTCCACCACTTGGACAATCTTCACCCCAACCATTGCTGCCATGTGACCAGTGTGGGCCTTTGACCTGTGCCCACCCCCTGTCAGCATGTGAGAAGCAAGCTCCCTGGGCTTCCCACACACTATCCTACCTGAGAGACTCCAGCTGCTCACCACTGGAGCAGCCAGAGCAATGGGGAAAGCAGCAGTTTTGTTAGGACTTTGAGGATTCAAACCCAGAGCAGCCAGGCCAGCAAACAGAGGTTGGGTCCTCAGCACCACCACACAGCTGGTCAGATACGAGCCTTAGCCCAGCCTGGTTCCTCCCATGGGATATTGACCAGGAGTCAGGTGACTAGGGGAAACCTATAAGCACCACCAGCCCCTAACAGGAGGGCTATAAGACCCCTCCTACTTTCAGTGGGACTTGTCCCAGTAACATTGCTTGTGTGTTCTTTGGATGTCTGCTTCAATCCTGCCTGATCCCAGCCTCACCACAGTCCTGTCCCTACTCCATTTGGACCTCTTGACTGATTTGCTTTTCTCCCTGACCATAATACTGCCCCAACTGCTGGCCTGAAGACCTGGACTTTGAGTGATACCTGGTGTTACCCCAACCTGCCTATGGTAATTTCCTAAGTGACTGCCTATGGTCTGGGCAATCCTTACAGGTTGAACAGGAGCCCTAGGAGCATATATTAATCTCTTGTAGACTGGATACAGCTTGCAGGCCACCAGTTGGGCAGCCTTGTTTCAGGCTATGAAGCAAGATTGTAGAATTAGGGAATTTTAGAATTTGCATTTTATCATCATTTCCCCCTCCAGCCTCAAAGGCAAAAGTCAAACCCAAGGCTCATCTTTATGGAATACACTTCTAAGCTGTTCTCATGCCTTGCAAGACCCTTCTGAAATTAACTATTTCAGTGCTTTATTCTGTGAAAATTAAATTCAAGGGACAACAATTAATATAAACAGAAAGTATTTAAAGAAAAGATGTTTCCGGGCTTATTCTTCACTGCTCTTTCCTTGCATAATTATTTACCCGTAGGCAAAGCAGAAGTGTAACAAATGGAGTGGAACATTCTTATATGATAGCATTTTATACATACTTTATACAAGTTGCTAGCCAGTGGTGCATTAGGTGGTGGTGCATTTGGCTTGCCAAATTATACTGATTATATCATGGCAGTCTTGGAAATTTCCCAATGGAAGGTTCAGAGTGGGGCTCACATTCACACCTCAAAAATAGAGCAAGACCTCTTAGCTGCTCTGCCACTAGGTCCACACTGTCCTATGTACATGCTTTCAGCACCTGTGACTATCTCCTCTACTTCTTCAACACCAGGCATTAGACAAGAAGGCAGGGACTCTGACATCTGTATGTGGAAAGTAGCTGCTACTTTCCAACCCCCATCTTGGTCAACAATGGCATACAGAGCAGCAATGAGGGTAATTATCCACACTGTGGAGCTGAGTTCCTCAGCTTTGGAATGGGGGCGAATCTTGGTCAGACAGAACCATGAGGAAGGTAGTTTAACCTTATTACTTTTTTAATACTGTGCAGCTTTTTGTCTGAGACTGAGTTAAAGTTGTAAAAAGCACTTTAAAGATGTAAAGCCTTAGAAAAGCCCCAAGGACAACTATAAGTAATAATAAGCTTGGGTAAATATTTAAGGCACCATATATTTACAGGGTTCCTGTTTTATTTGGATATGTAGATAATCAGCTTTTCCCAAAAAGTAATTTTAAACCCCTCTCTACTGATGCTATTGATTTACATACATACCAGTATTGATGCTAGCAATGCCTCATATCTAGGGATTCTTACAACTATCAGCATCCAACCAGTGCACAAACTGTGACTGTAGACCTTTCAGATAACAGATAACAACAGTAATTGTTGTCCCTTTTTATGCATTAGCTTAATAATAAAAGAAGGTAGCAAATGATGCAGGCATATGAACAATTACACTTGCTGTGTGGAAAAAAGTGTGATCAAGACAAGCAGTAAGTACTTTATGCAACAACCTTAAAATGCTGTCCACATTGTATAAAGCATGACTTACCATAATAAGGTATTAGTTATTAACACAAATATAGCTATTTTGGGATAACCCTTTACTGATGGAAGTTGCATGTTGCATGGAATATACCAAAATAGTCCAAACTCTATCAGTTTGGGATCTCACCTATGATAGCACTGCATAATTTATTAGGTGCATTTTGATGAGATTTATGTCTTCCTGGTGAGGTATTGGGAAACTATTTGATTGAAAAACGATTGGGTGACCTCTGGCAAGTTCTGATTCAGAGCTTTTTACTTTTCTTTTCTTGCAGAGTTTAGTAAAATGACCTTCTCCCTGGCTGTGATGCTGATGATAGAAGTGGAGGTATGCTAATGGGAAGTTTGCCCCCACCCCCAATGTCCTTAAAGTGATGGCTGTGATTTTCAGAAGAGTCTAAAGAAGGAAGTTAGAAGCCTAAATTCCATTGAATTTGGACAGTTAACTCCTCTAGGATTGCTCATGTATATGTAGTGTCAGTGATGTCCAAATCAGCCACTGTCTGTTAGGATTCCCTAGAAAATTAATGATTGGCTTGTCAGGATTCAGTCCAGTGGGCTAATTTGTCATAGTTTCTTGGACTACTTTTTAAGATTAATATGCAGTATAATATATACATATCAATTTCAGCATTGAATAAAGCTGATTTAGAAATTAGGTACAGATTTTTACGGAGAGGTCTATTTCCCACTAGAATAAATGATTGAGGGATGTAATGGATTATCTCCAAATCAAGGCTGGGATACTTTTCAGGAAGCTATGCTTTGGTGATAGCACTGGGTTCAGTAAACAAAAATCAAAAGGTCTACAAGAGCTAAATAGCTCACCTATAGTTAAGACAGGCCAGTTTTTATGGTCAACACCACACAAGAGAGTGAGGTGACAGCATCATGTAGAGCCACCTTTGATTCCTTAGCCTGAATTACCAAGTACCCATTTACAGCTGAGGTGACTGGTGGGAAGTAATGTACTGAAGGACATGGAAAGTTAGAGAGAGTCCAGAGGTGGGTGGCAAAATGATAAATGGTTTGGAAGGCAAGTCATGTGAGGAGAGGTTGAAGGAGCTACGCTTATGCAAAAGGTGCTTAAGAGGAGATGTGATAGCAGTCTCAAATACTTAAAGGACTGCCATAAAGAAGAGGGAGAACACCTTGTCTCTCTTGCTGCATAGTGGGATGCAGACCAATGGCTTGAAGTTATATTGAAGTAGGTTTAGACTGAACATCAGAAAAAATTTCTTCACTGTTAGAACAGTGAGTGTAACAGACTGCCTAGGGAAGTTGTGGAGTCTGCATTACTGGAGGTGGTCAAGAAGAGGTTGGACAATCACTGGTTGGGGATGATCTAGGCATAGCTATACCTATGTTTCACTATGGGTATTTCCCATGCTTCTGGGTTTCCTGGTTGTCACATGGAGCTAGGAGGAATTCCTGCTCTCTGCCTCTCCCCCCTGCTGCTTCATGCATCAGGGTTATTTTAAGCCTTCCTCATAGTCACTGGGGGTTGGCTGCAGCCAAGGCTAGGGATTGTGATTGGGGTGTGCCAGTGCTCCAGCTGGGACTTAAATCTGGAGGTTCCTGGCTACAGTATCTTACCCCTCCACTCAGGGTCAGACCAATTGTCACATTTGGGGTCAGTAAGAAATTTTACATTATGGTCAGGTTGGTATGGACTATGGTGTTTTTGCCATCCTCTGTAGTGAGGGGTATGGCCCTCTTCCTGGAATCCCTTGAGTGCATATTAGCAACATTTACAGCAGGAGAACATTGGCCACCATGGTCCCCCTGCTTTACTGGTGACAGGCAAAGGTGTTATGTCTTGTATTGTGTCAGCATTGACTGTAGTTTTGCTAAAAGTTTGGACAGTGGATTTGTATGAGGTGGTTTGGGTAGAAATGATCCAGACTTATGAAGGGGGTTGGTCTAGGTGACCTTATGAAATTTCTTCCAACCCTACTGCTCTGTGTTTCTGTGATTATAAGTGCAAACTAGATAGTTCCTTCTTGACCTTGAACCCTGGGAATCTCTGATGTCCCATTGTGCTGTGCCATCTGCTGCACCTGCTCAAGAGGTGTACATCATTAGGGAGACCTGGCAGACTGTTGTTAGTAACAGAGTATATTGCTGCTGCAGAGAGTTGTTAGAGAGGCTACGTGCAACATGCCACTCTGATCATAAAAATATTAAAACTTTTTGAGATTATGGTTCAGAGATTTTGACCAAGTAACTTTTACTTATGAGCCAGGGTACTGCAGCCCTCATTGCCATGGTGGGAAGGTCTGATTCTGTGCTGAAGATTAACAAAACAACTGTTTCATTTCAGGGAGTGGTGCAAGCCAAAAAGAATAAGTATTGGCAGAGGTCTTTGAGTGTGGCACTCCTTATCTATCCTGGGCTTATGTAAACAAAAATCTGTTATTATTTTTTAAAAATAAGTGGTTTTTTTTTAAGATTAAAGCAACCATGTAGCTTTTGTAACCATGTGTTACTTTTGCTCAGATGCCACAATGACATGACTTCTCCCAAGTGCTGTGATTGTGCGGTTACTATCTTCCTCTTCTCATGTGTCTCTGGTGAATCTTTCGTGTGGTTCTTGTAAGATCAATGAGCAAACAGAGCTCAAATTGTCTCATGAAGAGATCATGCTTGTCTTGTACATTCCCACAAGATCCCAGGGAAATATTTGATGCGTGGTACTTCCTAATTGTAATTAGAAGAGTGATTATTGTCCTTATTATTTGTCTTGCACTAGCAGTTTCTTGGGAGTCACACCTCTACTTCACCTTTGTAGGACATCATGTCTCTGTCCTGAGGTGCTTTCAGTCACTGACACCCTTGCCCCTCTCCCACTGGTTCTCTCCTGCTTCCAGCCTGGTCAAGTGTTCACGATACTGTGATCTGGTAGTCATGCTGCTTTGTTAAATAGGTCTATAGGGAGTGAGTACTGGAGAGTGGTGCAGTCCATACTGCTGATTTTTCTCTGGTCTCTCTCAAAGCAACAGATTACATAACCGCTTCAGTAGAGTTGGCCATTACCAATCCCTGGAGACCCAGAGGCTCCTAAGCTTTTCTTGATATGGCAGTGGCATAGGTTGACACCTGCCCCTCTAATTCAAAGATCATTAGAGACACAGTAATCTCTGATCTATCCCATTTGGGGTTAGATGTGCACAGAGTTTTACCAATTCCCACACCCGCACTTGGGAGTTTATCTATCCTTTATACTTTTGTCTTGTATCGAGCGCACCAGAAGTACTCAACCAGTAAATAATAACATGCTGGCTCTGAGCATAACTTTGTATGCCAGATTTGCCTGTCTGCTCACAGGTGTCTCCCACCACAGCTGAATGGAACCAGATGGGAAGAGGCTATCAGTCTTGAAGCTATTGGCTCATTCACTGCACAAAAAACTCTGCGGGGATTCTGCTTCTCTGAGAGCAACTTTCTCTTCTCCTATGAGGACAGGACACAAGAGAGATCCTGATAATCTCTGAGCATTGGGGAAGGTCCTAGCTCTAATTTGACCCGAGCCATGAGTTTTGTAAAGCCCTGCTTTTACTAAACTATTGGCTGTGGCCAAATGTAACTTTAAATTGTTTTAAAAAGGGAGAGAACTTGTTAGTCAGGAGCATTTATCAGCTGTTCAGATTTAACTGTTATGTCTGCATGGTCCTGTAGCAGTGAGGTAAACCAGGGGTATCAAACTCATCTGGCCCCATGGGCCAGGTGAGTGGTGTGGAACAGGTCCATAGGCTGAGTGAATGGCAAGGGGCCGGGCCCATGAGCCAGATCCCTCCCCCCCACCTGCTGGATCTTGTGCTCATGGCACTTGCTCAGGTTGGTCTGGGACTGCTGCAGTTGGTGCTTACTCCAGCCAGATGGGGACCTGAGCCACACACAGTGTTTGCTTCAGCTGGTTCAGGGCAGGTGCCACATGTGGTGCAGGTCCCAGGCAGGCTGGGGTAGATGCTGCACTTGGTGCAGTTCTGGACCAGCCACACCAGGTGCCAGATCTGGCCCGTGGGGGTCCGCAGAGTCTCCCCCTCGCCCTGCAGGCCGGATCCAACTCTGGTCGGTGTCTAGGACTGCATCGCACATGGTGCCCGCTGTGGTACCCATGCTGCATGCAGTGCTCACCCCAGACTAGCGGGACCAGACACTGCATGTGGCTCGTGTCCTGGATCAGCCAAAGCCAGTGCTGTGTGCAGCAGTCCGGCCCGTGGAGGTGGGGACAGGAAGGTCCAGGATGGCCCTGTGCAGGGCCAGCTCCTTGTGCTGAAACAGGATCAAAACAGGAGTCCTCCTGGCAGCAGACAGGCCTGAGGGTGATACCAGGCGCGGGGGCCTCAGGCTCCCTCTGGGGAAGGCCGGGTTGCGGACGAGGAGGAACTTTGGGACGCTGAAGCCAGTCCAGCCCCGCGCCAGGAACGAGAGACGCTGTCCGGGGACGCGCTCAAGGGCGGCTTGGCCGGGGTGCGGACCGCCCCTCCCTGGAGCCGGGGCCTGCACGACGCCCCGGGGCTGCCCCGGAGGAGCGGGCGGTGCGGCGGGGCAGGCTGGAGGGCGCGGACCCCCGCAGG